GCGGGGTAATAATAGCGCTTTGAGCATGCCCCTGAGTGGTGTGGAAATATATGTAGACTATCATTATCATAATTCTGGGTGCCCCCATTGATGTGGCTGAAATATTGCTGAAAACGTTGTAAAACCATTAACGCTCACTATATATACTTGACTTCCAAGTTAATTTGAGCTCTGATAATATTAAGTCTGATGGCAGCTGTGGGAAGTGATCAGGGCCCTGTTCCAGAAAGTGATCGGAACTACGATTTTCGTAAGTCTGTGTTAAAGTATGTGAGTTATGACTGTGTTAGCTCCACGATCGTTTGTGGAACCGGGACCAGGCCGGTTGCGATGTGAAGCAACTGCTGGACTCTATTGATTCTTCCAACTGTGTAAGAACTCTCCAAGACAGGCTCTTTGGTTAACTTGTCTACGTAGCAAAGTGTCCCCCCTAGAAGCCGACACCTTCCTATTGATTCCACGGTGTTTGACATTTAAAACACACAAGTTGACTGCCATAGGTGGCGATGTGCTGCGTGGAAACGAATGAGCCCATAGTTAACTGTGAAACTGAGCTAACAGAGCGTGTGGCGACTGAAGGGAAATTGATGTTAGGTTCAAATACTGCTGAAGAGTTGAAGATTAGCGATGCTAGTGTCAGAGATGTTTTGGAAGGGAGTTATTTTTCGTATTGATCCGTATGAAATATAGACTTTTTCTTTGCTTTGAAATATGATTGGAGTGAGTGAGTGAGTGTTGCATTACACTATTGTAGAATGTTCCAGCAGTTGTCATGAATAAGCTAACACAATGTACCCATCTGGAGAATTGAACCTGTTCTTTTACATGAAAGTTTTGATCATTATGCTATCCAACTATGCATGAAATTTCGAACTCTGGAAAGTTTCACCAAAGTGGTAAATGTCTGTCATTTGGCTTTTCTCCCACATGAAAATTGCAGAAAGTATGTGAAAATCAAGTAATCTACCCCTGCCTCAGCTTTTCCACTGCATAGCTCTGTCATGTTTACAGCCAGTGCCTGTCACAGTCTTGACAGCAGGTCAGTTTTGACCAGATTTTCCAAGGGAGTACAATGTGTTTGTACTGCAAAAGTTCCTCTTTTTCTTGCTAGGCTCCAGGTTTGTTTAATTCTAGTTATGTGATAGTGCCTTGTGTCAAACTCAGCAATGGGCGAGGAACTCTGGAATGTCTGGGACCATGTGTTACTGACCTGCCCACAGTAATATTACAAAGCAGTATGATATTGATAGGGACATTTTCTGAATGAGTCAGTAACTGATTAAGCTTGCACACCTTGAAATAGACTGGGATGTTATACTAAGTGGTGTGTAACCACCAAGGAACTATCAGCTATAGAATCATCTGCCCAAGGCAAGGGAGTTAACTGACTTTAAAAGTCCAGTTTCCACCCATGCTAAACTCGGGTGGAATTATGGAGCTATGTTTTGGCTGGACGAACAAGTCTGTCCATAGACGAATCAAAATTGTATCATGAAATCAACATCCTGTTTGTAAACTTCCATGCAGATTTCAGTCGATTGCAGGATTGGCAAAGCATGTGTACCGACAACTTAGCGTCAAAAGATATTTACCAAATCTTGTCATGTTTTTAATCATTAAGTTTAATAATTAAGGTTCTCATGTGATTTGATGCACTTCGCAAAGTAAGACCCATTTAATGACATTATAGATCTAGATTATCAATCAGATCGTCTTCACTGGGCGATGTCAGTTCATTTGAAGCCAATGTAAGTGATATGAGAAGTCAGTGTTAGAAATTGTCACAAGTCCTGTAGTCCTTGCCAAACTACCCAATAGTAAAGGTATCATAAGGACTAGCAGGAATTGGCCATGTCTAATGCTTTTGCTACATGTTATCATTATAAGGACTAGTGGACTAAATATGCCTAGCTTGGCAAGGGTGGAAACAACTTCTACAGTTAGTTAACTCCCTTGCCACGGGAAGATACTATTGAATATGACTAATTAAATGCTGCAGGAAAAATATGAGATGAATCCCATGATGAAAATACCTTTTATCTGAATGTCAACATTGATTAGACCATTTGTCGTCCCTATTCAGTTCAAAGTTTATATGAAATTTTAATGTTCTATCATGCTTAGTACTGAGATAAGCCCTGTATGGCTTCTCCTGCAACCCAGTAAACTACAGTTACAACAAACTCAAAGGGGACCACTAATTTTAGTTCGTAATAACCATAGTTCATTACAAGCATATATACAGCATATATACAACAAAAGGTTGGGACTCAATAATAGGTTTGTTATATCGGTCAGTTCGTTATAAACGTAGTATACTGTGGTATTTGAAAGTTGCTGATGGTGTGTATGTTGTGTTTAGTTTGCTTGTTTGTTTGTTGTTAGTGAGGCACAGACTGCTTAAATGGTCCTTTTCTATTGAAACTGGATTGTATCTGAACTAAAATTGTTATAGTGTTATATACAGGTGCAGGGATGGTAATAGAGTTGCCTCCCTTTGTGCATGTCGGTTTCAGTCAGTGTGAACAATGACCTGTGAAGGCTTCTGATGCAGTATTAAACCCTAATGGTCCAGCACTTTAGCATCTGACTTAAACAGATAGTTATTCTCATACAAACATTGCTACAAATAATCAGTTTTCGATAATGATTAGTTTAGAGAGAATATTGATTGTAAAACCTGTGCTTATTTTAATTATATGACTACATTCCAGTATGATTTTGTTGGGAATCACATTCTGATAAAAGACAAATGAGTCTTGAGATAAAACAAACACAACATGAATGTAAATATTACATTGCCTAAATATGTCAGTGGAATTCCCTCTCAGATATGCTCTTTAATTACATGTATATTGCAAAACCAACAATTTATCCAAGTGAATGCCCTGTGTTTTTGTTACACAATGGCAACCTTCAAAGCCCAGTTTACTTGAACCCAAGTTGTATGCAAATTGAGACTGAGATGGACTGTGTTGATCACACCCATAAACGTGATTCCTGTCACATAGGTCGTAGTTGACTTGGATGTATCTAGTTCCCAATCTCTGTCTGCTGATACACAGTGGTCACTGAGACTGATTGTCTCCAGTGTGGATGGGTTCAGTAGGTCAGTATGAGGTGTTATATCACATGGCGGTTATGATATGTATACCCATATATATATATATATATATACTACTCAAAAGAAGTTAAAGAACACCCGAATCTTTCACATTACTATATTTGATCTTTCATGCCATGACAGATTAACTATAGTAATATGAAAGAATCATGTTTTCTTTTACTTCGTTTGAGGAGTATATTTCGGTGTTAAACAATGTCCGCTAAACATTATCTTCTCTCCAAATCGGTGTTAAATTGTTACCTAACCTAATTACCTGAAAAATACCATGGACAAGTGAATTTATTCATGGCAGTTTTAGAATTTAAGAAGAAACTGGCAGATCTAGAGAAGGTGCAGGGGGTGCACAGTTTGCTGTCTTGTCGAAGTATGGTTCTTATGTTCCTTGCAAATACATCAACTAGCCCATTGGTCATTGACCAGTGAAAATCTAGAGGGACTAATTTTCTTTCACCTAAAATGTAGATATTTTACGTACACCACAAGTTGTGGACCAGTTGCCTATGACCAATGGTGGGTCTCTCAGAGTATGGCTACGGGACCATTTTGCTCACACTGAGAGGGTTGTTGGTGGTCCTCAGGAGTCAGTGACCCCCAGAAAGCTGGGGCACTTACCTACTGTGAATAATTTGGATTTAGAAAGAGGGACTTTGCTTTATTGTGTGGTGCCCATTTCCAGTACGATTACATAATAAGTGTCCTGTATGAAACTGAGACATCACCTCTCCGTTATTAGGGTAGTATTTTAACTGAAAGATTGAATGCATCATGTTTATGGTTGCGTTGATGGTCCATCTGTTGTGCAGAGTTGCTTCCATTGTGAGTTTAAATCCCGGATTCACCCTGATCACGTTTCTAGGTTTGTCAGTACCATACCTGTGCTCCTGGGTTTCACCCAAGTGGTAAACGTCTAACATCGGCATCACTTCGAGCCTTTCTCCCACATCAAGCTAACAAGCCGTGATGTCACTGAACAACTGTTCAAAGCAGTGTTAAACCCAACTTATGCACTCACTCACACTCATAATATTTGAGTGAGAAGACAAAGTGGGTTTTGAATTATTTAAATCCAGCATACTAGGACTGCCATGTTGTGTTGGCCAACTCTGTGTCTGTTCAGCAGCAGACTAAACGTATACTAAGTGTTGTTGGAAGTCAAATTGAGAAAAAACACATCATTTTGTTCAAAATTTTGATTTTATTTAAATCCTTATTTGCTTAACTTCAGAGGTCTTTTAACATTGCATGCCATGCAATAATGTAAAACTGAGGATAATAGCCTCTTACTCCTCATTGGTCCTGTTATCAGTACAAGTCACATCTACAAAGCCATGACATTGGTGGGGTGGTCGGGTAGTCTAGTAGTTAAAGTGTTCGCTCGTCACGCCGAAGACCCGGGTTCCATTCCCGACATGGGTATAATGTGTGAAGCCCATTTCTGGTGTCCCCCGCTGTGATATAGCTGGGATATTGCTAAACGCAATGTAAAACTATACTGACACATTCATAACATTGGTAATAACTATGACTTATTGGGACATTTTTAATTCCAATTTGGGAATTTGTACTGACATTTGCTTCAGACCTGGTGCCAAATACCAGCCTCTGAGCAGATCTAGATAAATCCCTGGATACCTAGAAATAATATTGCAACAGTTTTTAAAGAAGGTCTTGCAAAGATGAGGGTTGTAGTTGGTTCATTTATTGTCGGTTTTCTTGTCGGGTGTTTAATGACATCAGTACAAACAAGGTTGAAGTGGGTTCAGCGACGTGCCGTAGATCAATGGCAGACGTAGGACAAGGTACCATTTGAATAATGAAACATGTAGGCAAATGAAATTATGTTATAGCGACGATCCGGCTTCCTGCATTTCAGGTGAGAACGTGCAACTATATACAAGTGACATACTTGCGGCGCCGTTATCACTCTGAAGATAACAGCATATCACTAGATGAAGATTGTCTGTTGAGTATCCATGTTATGCAAGGTGCCCGTGACTATCCCAGGTTGCAATCAGCGTGCTTCATCTGTTTTGTAATGTTTCTTATTGAACGGATCCTCCTACTGCTTGTAGACTAGCCTTGTGAGAAATAGCCATTAACACCAGACCTAGGTGTTTTCAGCATTGTCTGAGCGGGATATTTCACCAAGACCTCACTAAAATAGACAACTGACTTTTTTCGTCTGTGAATAGACTGTTAATAGGTCTTTCAGCAATTGTGGATGCAGTTCTCTCGTGCACGTCAGGGAGAAAGGCAGCAGACAGATAGTTAAGACTCTTGTGCTGTCGCAATCACAACCCTTTATACCAGATGGTCTTACAGGTTGTTAGACAATTGAGGACGTCGACGTACTAACATTTCCTTGATTACAGCAGTGTAGTCCTTGTAGAGATTGTGCAGTGTTGGTTGTGTTGATGTGAAATGGACACTGAATGACAGAGATGTGTTTGAAATGGGCATCTTGTAAATAGCGTGGATTACAAGACAAGAGGTTTCATTGGATATATATCACCATGATGGAGCATTCCAAGTCCCTCTCGGACACTGAGCAGCCTATGACAGAAGGTAAGGGGATGTTTTCCGTGCATGTCTCTCATTATGTCACAATGTTGCTATGTTTTGATATCAAGCGGGGATTCATGTGATGAATGTTTGTCAACATGCATCCAGGCATCCTGTTTCCATTTTGTGTGCATGTGATCTATTGTTTGAATGCTGGTATGGGTTAATCATGTGTTGATGCGACATTAAGAAAATTTTGCTATGTCAGCATTTTTAACCCTGCTGTATCAATTTGAATGTCATTGACTGATATAGATATTTTCAGGACTTGTCTTCAGCATGTTCAGATGTTGTTTACCTACTTCCACAGCGGCAGAAATTGGCACTAGTCCTAGAGCCCTTGCAAAAATGCCCAATAGTTAAGCTATCCTACGGACAAGAAGAAATTTATCCTTTTTAAGGGATTTGCCCTATGTTATCATTATAAGGACCAGTGGCTTCCAGATATTGTTTACAACTTAGGACCATTGGTTTGTGATATGTGTTCTATTGATAAAGCACGATGAATTACATACATTATATATATTAATCAAAAGATTTTGTCATATGGCCATAGCGTCATGCCGTGACAAATTAACTGTAGTCATTTGAAAGAATCAGGTATTCTTTAACTTCTTTTGAGTAGTATGTGTTTTGATTTCATTTGCATTAACTATTGCTCATTACCATACTTGCAAGGAATGTCTCATGCTTCATAGTGATCAAATTGGAAATAATGTGAGGTTCAAAGAAAATAGTACGTGTCAGTGTGTGAGGTTATATAATGTGTCAGTGTGTGAGGTAATATAATGTGTCAGTGTGAATAAGGTAATATTATGTGTCAGTGTGTATGAGGTAATATTATGTGTCAGTGTGTATGAGGTAATATTATGTGTCAGTCAGGGGTCCGGAAAATTTAAAATCCCAATCGGACATTTGCATTTAGGCCACGCCCCCTTCAAATAGCGTATTTTAGTACGACTTTTCACACACATTACAAGTTTACGTATTCATAATATGATGAATTATGAATTGTTTCAATTTAAATTGTTTAATTCACCGGACAATTAATAACAAATAATATCAGTTTAGATATACATGGAAAACATACGTTTGTTTCTGTTATAATAACGATCTGTTAACGAAGTGAATGGTCTAATTAATATTCATGAGTTATATTCATGAGTCTGCTCAAGTGTACGTGTTGTAACATTTGGATCCAGACTATTATCCCATATTTGGTCATCACGTGACCTCATGGGAAAAGGGTTTTTTTAAACTAAAGATTATTTAAAAACAAGACAGATAATTTAATCACAAATACTAAAATATTGTTGATAGCAATAGTTATTTGAATACTTTTTTCATCTGTACTTAATTATTGAGCATAATTTTTTTTTATATTGATCGTCCGAGAAAGCAAAATGGCGGTCAATCAAGATTCAATATACGACTAGCTACTGAAAACAATAAAATCTGCAAATCCTCATTGTATGTCAACCAAGTGAAAGTCGTTAGCCACGATTGACAAAATGATCGTCCCGACTTTGAGGGTTTGGCAGATCCGCTCGACTGATCTGCATCGGTCGACTGGCTGTCGTCCCGCTTTCGCTTCTTGTCTGAGGTTACGTATCGTAGCATTGTGAGGATAATGAGGTACATCGATGATGCAAGGTATTTATGTACAGTTGTAAACACCTTTCACTCAAATTAACAAGATGTTCTCAGTAATTAATCCTTGATTAATCAGTGTCAACTCAGTTTATTGCCTATTACAGTGATTGACCGATTGGACTATCATGTAGGTACGATGTATTTACAGCAATCAAAACAAACAAAGCTTGTCAGTGTAGATAATGTTCATTGTGTTGTAACTGCAGACAGAAACTACTCAGTCCTAACTGTTGATCATGTCTGGTCAAAATTTAAGAATGTCCGGACAATACTTTTTAAAATGTCCGGTAAGCAATATTTTCAACCAGACATTTGAGATTCCCAATCGGAAATGTCCGGCACATATGACGGTTTCCGGACCCCTGATCGAGACTATTATCCCATATTTGGTTATCACGTGACCACACGGGAAAAGTTTTTTTTAAACTAAAGATTATTTAAAAACAAGACAGATAATATAATCATAAATACTAAAATATTGTTGATAGCAATAGTTATTTGAATACTTTTTTCATCAGTTCTTAATTTTTTACCATAAAAAATTTGGATATCGATCGTCACAGAAAGCAAAATGGCGGTCAATCAAGATTCAATATACGACTAGCTACTGAAAACAATAAAATCTGCAAATCCTCATTGTATGTCAGTGATTGACCGATTGGACTATCATGTAGGTACAATGTATTTACAGCAATCAAAACAAACAAAGCTTGTCAGTGTAGATAATCTTCATTGTGTTACAACTGCAGACAGAAACTGCTCAGTCCTAACTGTTGATCATGTCCGGTCAAAATTTAAGAATGTCCGGACAATACTTTTTAAAATGTCCGGACAGAAAAATTTAAATGTCCGGTAAGCAATATTTTAATCCGGACATTTGAGATTCCCAATCGGACATGTCCGGCGCATATGACGGTTTCCGGACCCCTGGTGTCAGTGTGTATGAGGTAATATTATGTGTCAGTGTGTATGAAGTAATATAATGTGTCTGTGTTTGAGGCAATATAATGTTTCAGTGTCTATAATGTGTCAGTGTGGGAGGTAATATTATGTGTCAGTGTGTATGAAGTAATATAATGTGTCAGTGTGTATGAGGTAATATAATGTGTCAGTGTGTGAGGTAATATAATGTGTCAGTGTGTATGAGGTAATATAATGTGTCAGTGTGTGAGGTAATATAATGTGTCAGTATATGAGGTAATATAATGTGTCAGTATATGAGGTAATATAATGTGTCAGTGTGTATGAGGTAATATAATGTGTCAGTGTGTATGAGGTAATATAATGTGTCAGTGTGAATGAGGTAATATAATGTGTTCCTAGTGTTGAGCTGGAGTTGTATGAGGCAGTATTATGTGTCCCTAGTGTTGAGCCGGAGTTGTATGAGGCAGTATGTGTCCCTAGTGTTGAGCTGGAGTTGTATGAGGCAGTTTTATGTGTCCCTAGTGTTGAGCTGGAGTTGTATGAGGCAATATTATGTGTTCCTAGTGTTGAGCTGGAGTTGTATAAGGCAATATTATGTGTCCCTCGTGTTGAGCTTGAGTTTTATGAGGTAATGTTTTGCTGATTCATGTTTACATTGTCTTGTCACATGATGGGCACAACCACACGGCTGTGAATGTCCAGGACACTGTGTCGTGTAACACCAGTATGTGCCAGGAGCCTCAAGTAGACAGTGTAGACTACAATACTCCGTAACCGGACCTCGGTGTCCATGTACTGACCTCATCAAGGCTGTCTGTCACCAGCTACAGCTGAACAATATTGTCAAATCACATTCAGCTATTCATTCCTTTGAACGATCTATTGTTTCGTCTTGAATTACAGTCAACATCCAAATTAATTAACTTGTATATGTATGGTGTGTTGTTGAATATGAGTAGAGACAAAGTTCTTGTAAAGAGTTTAAACTGATTTTTAGGGTTTGTTGGAGTTTTTGTATTCAGTTGATTGCATTGAAATCAAAATAACTGGAAAACCTCTGGCAGCGTGGGTTCGAATCCAGGACGGGACTCAACATTGCTCAACCCCCTCCCCCCCAAAAAAACAAGAAAAACAAACCCCAAAAAGTATAAGAATCTGTACTTTACAAAGAAGGTGTTATCCCAAATATAGCATTTGTTACATTTGACCACTTTCTAAATGGCATTGTGTGTTTATAACTCAAAATTAATTTGAAAGTGATGTTTCATGTTTTCATAAATATTTGACATTAATGATAGGCATAAAAAAGATTATGTGTTCTATTTTTTTTTAGCATTCAAAAATATTCTGGGCATTGAGTTGACATGGTCATATGTTGTAGTAAAACATGTTTGTCATGCTGATATGAGTAATCTAGAATACTATCAACATGATCAAATACATTTTGCACTTGTACTTTTATGCTCCAGCAAGTGATAGCATGCATGTGTTAAATATATACTTCTTATCAGCTTATTTATTCCTGCCCAGGAAGTGGACACTCATAGACACTGAAAATAGCTCCCCAGTACAGTTTAATGTGTCACATGATCTAGTCACATGACCAGCCCATTCGGACTGTCTATGGTCAGATGATGCTGGTGGAACTATATGTTCCTCTGATGTGATCTATTTATAGCATTCAGCTTCCCCCTCACCATGTGTGTCTAAGTTCCTGGCACTGCGCCTGATGCTGTGGTAGAGCAGAGGCTGTGCTTTAGTCAAAGTGGAGAGATATTTATACAGCTAGTATAGGCTTGTGGATTTATTCTACGCTTTTTGGATTACCTACAACATGGAGAAGAGTATATTTTGTGGCGGGTTTTTACTAGTGGATTTATTTTGGTGAGTGTGCATTTTTGAATGGCTGCTTTTGTGGTAGGTTATGCATGGATACCGGCATGAGATGTCTGCCTCAGTATAACACGGCTATTGTTATATGGTGTGAAACTACCTCATTATAAGGCAGTATTTTGATAATGATTTTATTTTTCATGTGATATGACTTCGCCTTTAATAAGTAGGCGTGATTGATGGGTAAAGTAGCTCATTTTGACAGGGTGGTTATTTATTATTTAAGTCATGCTGAACTTATTTCATTGAAATATTTCTCTAAAATTTTGTTTATGATGTGATTAGTGACGTATATAGATCCTTAATTCATGTATCCTCGTAATGAGATATATCCAAGTATATCTTCAACTATGCAGAGTTGTGTCCCTTACCTGCCAGGATCTGCTGGTCTGCTTGCGCCAGATGAACATTGATTTTGATCCTGTCAGCATATGATATCTGTGTTGTTGGATTTCACCAAAATTGTTATCATTACTTGATGTCTGCCCATGCTTTGTCAGAGAGGTGTTTTTGTCGTTTAATAGGCAGGCAGC